CGTTTTCATACATTTCTAGACAAAAACCAGAATGTTTGAAAATTCTGTGGCAGAATACAGAATATGATTTTATTGATTTACAATAAGAAATAGATTTATTTATTTACAACAAAAAATATTTAAAATTTATTGTAAATGATAAGATAAAATGCACCCAAAAAAAACTTGATATGAAAGGATGATCAATTTGATATAATGTGCACTCAGAAAAAAACGCATCCTAAATTTGAGCGCGATTTATACTTGATTTCGGATAGTATTTTTTGGGCTTGTTTTAAGAATGAAAATGTTGGGCGTTCTTGAATTAAGAATAAATCATTCTTAAAACCCAAATTATCCGCAAATGTTCTTGATTCCAGAACATAATTCAATAAACAGGACTAAACAAGAACGATTTATCCTAAACCCAAGTATAATTTATTCTAAAAAAATAATTTTTCATGGTAAGCACAAACATTCTTAATGTGATTACTAAAAGTACTTAATTTCAGAAAATTAGGTTTTAGTATTCTGTAAATAAGAATGAATTATTCTTATCAGTAGTATTAAAATTAAAAAATAATAAGCATTTTGACAAGTACAATTTGTGCTTAAGCCAATGTTAAAATGTTCTAATTAATTTAGTTAACGAGTTCCAATATTGATTAAAGTAAAATAGAATTGGCGCTAGACTAAAAAAGATTAGTTCACAAAAACTGTATAATGTAGGTACATATGTTTATAAAACACAAGTAGTTCAATATTATTAAAAGTTAAGAGTTAGATCCTCAAAACAAGCACATTTTGTTAAATCGGAGAAAATTTTGAAATTAATAATTGTTATTAAATACTGTGAAAAACGTGCATCATATATGCCAAAATACGATTCGATTTGAAAAACATTTAAATTCATAGCTATGAAATAAATTCTCAAAACAAGCCGATTTTATGTTTAAATCGGGGAGAAAATAGCAAATTACGGATTTTGTGTCACTCCATTTTTAACTTGTTAAGAGGTGTTTTTGTTTTATATTATTTAAAACTAAGAATTAAATTCTCAAAACAAGTACACGTTGTACTTAAATTAAGTATGCAAATAAAAGTACTTATGTAGGTTTTTTGGTCATCGCCGCGTAAGAGCGAGCGTGGCCGAGCTGTTAGAACGTCCGACTGTGGTGCGTGAGGTTGCGGGATCGAATCCTGGGAGAGGTATGTGATTTTAAGAAAAATGTTTCGCAAGTATAAAACACATTTTTATCTACAAATCTTTGTACATTTATGAGTAATTAAGTTTAAGATTATACAAAATAAGTATTGTTAACTAATAAAACAACACAATGATTTATACTATTAGTTTAAGAATATTTCATACTTCATTTGAGCATAGCTTATACTCATTTACGAGTAAATCGGATTAAATTTGTACAAATAATAATATTAACCCTTCACTCTAAAGCAATTTTCATTAAATTTTTAAAATTGTTTTTTTTTGTTTTTTACATTATTTGATTGGAATTTATACTTAATTTAAGTATAATTAATTCTGGGTTCAAGAACATTTCATACTTAATTACGCCCGAAAATGTTCTCAAATTAAGAATGTCGGTTTAAGAATAAAACGTTCTTAAAATGAAAAAACAAGCCCATTTCGTACCTGTCGCCCTTTCAAGACCATTTGGGCTTGAAACAAGCACAATGTGCTTGGTTTTTTTTCTGAGTGTGGTATCAATTTAAACTATGTGCTCGAAATGTAAACAACAGGTCAGTTCGAATTTTGAATGTCTTTCTCCCTCCCACTCAAATATTTTTAAGCGCTTTCTCGATCTATTTCGAATTTAGGGACTTCGTTCATCTCGGTCCTATTCACGTAATTTAAGTCGTCATATTGCTTCTATCTCCTTTTCGAAATCAGAAAACCTTCGAGAGAGAGAATTCGGCAAAATGATATTATTTAATATAAATTTTACCAGAAATACATGGTTAAAACGATATTTTACGGGATTTTATCCCGGATCGTTTTTTTTTGTGTTATTACTTGAACGTTCCTTTTAATTCGTACTTTTCATGCAGCTTTATTGTCCAAACTAAAATAGAATCGAACGAAATCCTTACAATTGATACATCGTTGATATAATGATCTATATTTGTTTTCAGTGCTCATGTTGCGGGCGTGGCACATAATATAGCTGGCTGTCTGTTGCAATAATGGCCGTAAATTGCCGTCGGTCCAACTGCTACTTCTTGTTGTTGTCCTTCCCAGCGGGAATGTGAGAAGTTGGTTTTTGTGTTCTTGAAATCCTGTTCCTTTTTGCAGGCGGCGGTGTAGGGATAGATAATTTCTGAGCGCTAAATGAGGGTGGGTTTCCGAGTAGCATCAATATCAGGCCACTTATGCGCTGTGTGATTTCTGTGGCACCACGATTATAATATTTTTGAACAAAAAAATCACCAACTTATAATATTCAAAAATCCTATGATGTACACCAAATCCAAAAGACTTGTTCTCACATTTAGTTTTAATTTTTAGTAATTTTAAAAGTCGTAGAAAAAATATTAATAATTGTTAATCAAAAAATTAAACTATATAACATTATTATCATAATGTCTATAATGATAATATTAATTTATTTTACTCAACATTTTTCAAATAATAATAAGGATGAATGTGGGATTCAACCAAATTATAGAGAAAAGCCACGGTAAGACGATTAAAATATTTGATCACATTTATCAAGGAATTACATTAAATTACAAAGAAAACTATTGTTGTTTTTACATTTTTAAACATTTTCTGTGAAATAAAATAATTTGATCGTCAGATTGGGGCCCAAGCCATTTTTAAGTGTTGTTAAAATATAAAAATTCGTATTGATAACACGAAAAATGCCTAATATACCTATAATATACGTAACCTTTAATGATTACGGTCCCTGAAAAGTATTGTTTAAATATTTATTCGGCGCCAAAGTGTGACCCAACTTTACAACGAAATTTACCCCACATTTATCTGCATTTTGTATGGTATTATCAAGAATATAATGCAGGGTCACATCATTTTTAAATTTGTTGGAAAAAGTAAAAAAAAGTGAAAATAGTTAATTTTAATCTAAAAAACAATAAAAAGGTGAGTGATAAAATGAATTTTGTCTTTTTATAACCTTTATTTCAGCGTTACAAAGGTTAGTATCACAGATATTTTCGCCATTAATAAATATACGCCTCCGGATGCTATCTTCAACACAAATTCTGCATTTCAGTGACACTTGAAATGTTTTTAATCTTTACCAGTGGTAAATGGTGTGAGGTGTTCATTAAATGGTTGTATAAATAGTACTTCAGTACTAACTTAGTTGTTTAACTTAATCAAAATATTACATTTATTTCAGCCAGGCCGACTGAGACTTCTTGGGACCAGAAGTGTTGCGCCTGCGTTTGTCATATTTAATTTTTTCTTCTCATAGTTTTTGATATAGATACCCGACATAAAACAACTGAACAGAGGGTAAATGATCGGCCATGGCAAACTAGGCATAATTTCTGGAGAGATCCTTTAATTTTGTGCGGAGACCTTATAATGGTAATTACTCTTATTATTATTCCTGGTCTTACATTCATATCTAAATTATGTTTGATATTTTCAGAAGACAGACAAGAAATGGATATCTAAGAACTGCATTCGGCCAAGCAAAACCCGGGAATGCTTCAGGCATTAAAAATTTGTAGTTCCAATGCTTCGATTGTAAATATTATTAATAAATACACAAACAAATATTACAAAAAACATGATTTTTATTGTGGAAAATCAGATACTGCAAGGCAGTGCAAAACCAAAACTGCGAGGGTCTGGAAAAACCAAAACTGGGAGGGTGTAGAAAAACAGATATTGCAAGTGGAGGAAAACCATAACTGGGTACGTGTGGAAAATCTATAATGCGGGAAGTCGAAAAACCAGTGGATTTTGTCCTGCATTCTTCTGCCAGAGATCCAGATAGAAACCTCATTTCCCCCTTACTTTTTGTGTCACCCCCGTGTATTTTGAAACCAGAGATGGAAGAAATGTAAGGGGTGAATGAGGTTTAGTCCCTTCCGCTTCTATGGAGAAACCTCTTGAAAATATGTTATTTTCCAGAGGAATTTTCCCGGTGGGTTGTTGTGGGGTGTTACCGGAGGGGGGTGATGTTGCGAATGCAATTGCAACTGCAACACTGCAACTGACTGCAGCGTATTTGTATATATGAATGCAAGTGTGTATCTTTGTGCCGCCTGTGTGGTATGCGAAGCACATTTAGGAAATTAAATGCGTTTACCTTCGGTCCTCCACCATCCAGATTGCCCCATCCCTGCGGCCCTTCGTCCGCCGCCCACAATTTATAAGCCTTTTGGCTACATTTTGTGGCTTTGATTGCAATTATCTTTTGCATTTTGTATTTATTTGCTACACTTTGGGCAATTGTCCGCATTCGGCCTTTGTCTCTGGCTTCCACTGTTCATTGTGGCCATTGTCAGTGGCCGTAGTCCATATGTGTGCGCAATTGCTGGGGCCCTATAAATCCTTTTGTTTTTGAATAGCCATATAGCCATGGGAGTGGGCGGGCGTACGTGCGGCTTCCAATTTGAAGTTTATTAATTGTCAATTTCATGAATTTTTCGGTAGCCTTCAGGCAATTGGCCTCGGCCGGCAAACAAATCAAAATCAAAAACTTTGATTTTTTTGTACGTGCTGCGAAAGTGTGTCTCTATTTGAACTGTAAATGCTTTATTAATCTGATACCTGTAAATGGAGTTTGATTTGACCACACCGTTCTTCAAGTACTTAGTTTTTTTGTGAAAAATGTAATATGATTCTGACGGTCTACCAAGTATGATTAGTACCGCTTAAACCCATTATCATATTTTATATTAGTATTTTTAAATTATAAACAAAATATTAATTGCAATCAACTGCATGTTTATTTATTTCATGCGGTTATTAATATTCTATTTTAGTGTTTACTTTATTAAAGTAGTGAGAATACAATGGATTAAAGGATAACGAGTGTTTTCTTAAATTTAAGTTTAAATTTAAAAGTGTTTTTTTTTGTGACAAATTAAGAGAATTTTGAAAACAGTAACGTAAAAAACCAAATATGAAAATGTAAGTTTGCTAAATAGTGTGGTTTATTAAACATAATTGAAACGCGAACATTTTCAAGTCCTATGCACGTCCTATACAAGTGTAGTCGAGGAGAAGGGACAATATTTGAGTGTTGTGGATATGGATATGAGTGGTTGTGGATATGGATATTGGTGGATGTGTATATGGGATTACAGGATCCCGATTAGACCTCTCGATCTTCATGAGGCTCCGAAGAGGTTCTTCTGATCCGTGAACAAGCCATGGCGCATCAGAACTGACCCCAGCGTTGTGGCAGACCCACACCATTGGGATAGTTCTCACTCGTCATGTTCTCGACCAAGTAATTGGCAAAGTACTCGTCACGATGTTCCTCCGGAACTTGATGCATCGCCCTCGTGACATTTGCCATCAGCGGGCACATTTCCGGCTCCTGGCTTTGCGATGATGGCGACGGTTTGACAATTGTGTAGAAGCTTCGCTTTTTGCGCAGACGCGGCGGTTCATCCGGTCTTCCTCTGGCCGGAAACTCAGCCATGGGCGGCTCATTAGGAGCGTCCAGGAGTATGGCCGTCTCACGATTGATTCCCCGTAACTGATGTTGATGTCCTTGGTCCCCATCATCGCCAGCATCTCCAGCCCCCGCATCACCAACACGATTGATCCGCAGCTCATCATCGCGATCCCCGTCCTCGTGGTCAAGTGGTGCATCCATTATAGAAAAAGAACAGCCACAAAAAAAAATTAAACCAAAACGACAACGAGATAAATACGGCAGTTTTGTAAGTTTCTGCTTTTCAATACGATGTTTTTTTTCTGTAGTTTTGATTGGGTTAGTTAGTAGTTGTCGAGTTTGAGTCTGGATAGAACTGAAGGGAAAATCCAACCTTGCTGGGATTATTTAAAAAAATGACTCTAAAATTGGTTGGACTACTCGTTAGAAATTTAATTTAATTTGTGGTTACGAATAAGTAAAATTAAAGGTAGGATAATAAATTTGTCATTTTTTAAAATTAGGAAAAAATTACGGTTATATGTTTTTAAATTATTGATTGAGTGAGATAGCCCATCAATAAATATTTTTAAAATCAAATGCTCTTTATAAATAATAAATAATTGTCTTGAAGCCTAGGAATAACTAAAAGTAAAGGTAGGATAATAAATTTGCCATTTTTAAAAAATAATATTAGAGAAAAAGGAATAAATTACGTTAATATATTTTTTAATTATTGATTGTGTGAGATGGCCCATCAATAAATATTTCATATATCAAATGCTCTTTATAAATAATATATTATTGTCTTGAAGCCTACATAATTTAAGTGCAATGAAATGAGCAAGTATCGACGTGTAACTTGCCATTTACCAAATCCCATTTGGGCGAAAGTTTTTCGCCTGTTTTGCTGCCTCCCGAAGGGCAGGGGCGATAAGATAGAATTGTGTGTATCCATTAGATGTAGTCATATCCATATCGAACAGAACAGCACAGAACGTCTGGCTCCCCGACGTCCAGTGGCAAATGGAGAAACGCTGTCTGACATTTGCTTGCCTGTTCCGAATCGAGCCCAGGCCCCAATCACCCCCGAGTGATTGGACACATTTAGCCCTATTTAACCCCCGCACCCTTCCCGGCGCCCCACCGTCGTCATTACAAGCAATTTAACTCGACGTAATGTTGCCATCAAGTGCTCCGGAATCGGAATCAGAAGCAGAATCAGAATCAGAATCGGGGAATCAGGCAATCGGGAAGTCGCAATGAATCGGCAGCTGTTTTTGTGCGCCTGTAATGGGAGAACATTACGAACTGTAAATGAGTTCATTACGGCCAGCTCAATTAATAACTTTTCGAATTGCGTTTAAGCAATCGCATTTCGGAAATTGTTTGCCAGACAAATCGGTGTGCGGGAGCGAAGAGTTTTTCCCGCCGGAGGAAATTATGAAGTGGAAATGCTGCTGCATCCAACAAGTTAGCCCCCAGCATCATGTTGCCGAAAAACGAACGCAACATTCCGATCAGCGCCGACGCAGATGCTCCCCTCTCCCTCTCTCGCTGTCGCCGTCTCTGTCCCACTACCCCCGTCTTTGGATCTGACCTCTCGCTTGTGGAACAATTTATTATGGCTTTGGGTCTCCGACTGTGTGTAATCACATTGTTGCCATTTTCACTTCATTATTTTGCTTTAATACGGGCAAAATTTTGTTTTACTGTTGCACTGGGAAAAGTTAGGGTTTTCCTTTTTTTGTGGGAAAAATAAGTTGTTGAAATCTAACAGATAAACCATTTATTTTAAGCGACTTAGAGCCGTTTTCTTTAATTTATTTTTTATTTTAAGTTTAAAGTAGTCTATTGTTAGTTATTAGTTTTTTTTAACTTCACTAACATCTTATAAATAAATAAATTATTAAAATAAGCTTTAAACTGTAAATTCCGTTGATTTAAAACTTAATTTGGCTTAATAGGAGATCAAATTAAAAAGTAGAATACAAATGTTTAATAATATTTAATTAAATATTTTTAAATACCTAATTAATTTTTAAATAAAGATTATTTCAAACTGCAAAATAATTTCTCCCAGTGCGAAATGCATCCTTCGTCTTCTGTTTGCGTCAGTTCGTGCCTTCCTTCTCTGGCTGTCTGTACCTGTCTCTTTCTCTGAGGCTCCTGCCTCTCTGTCGCTCAGTTGGACTGTTACACTTGGTTAAGCAACGAGGCCAGGATGAGCTTCCCTTCCAGTTATCAATGAAGAAACGAACATGTCCCTGCTGCTCCGGCGCTTCGGGCGACCTTGCCTTTGTGTGTGTGTGAGTGGGTGGTTGGATTGGGTGGTGGATTGTGTCTGCAGGGGTGTGCTTGTGTGTGCAACAGACAGTAATTATTATGCCATGTCCAGCGTTAATTGATTCAATGAAATATCTCCAGCACGGCCATTGTGTCCATGAAAGCTCCTGGGCAAGGATATATCTTTAGCCTGTTTGCGTGGCTTATTAAAAGCTCATACCAAATCGGATTTGTCAGCCAATAAACAATAGTGTGCATTCGACCAAAAACTTCACACGCTGCCAATTACGTACGTTGCTGAGATTGAAGGAAATTTACAAGGAAAATTTTTAATTTCAGTTTTTTAATATTTTAAAATTAATTAATTACAACCACATAATAAATTACAAAAAAACTAATAGTAGGACCGTTTTATAAAAGAACAATTTTAAAATGAAACGTTAAAACATAATTTAAACTGATCTCTCGTCAAAAGTCAATTTTAACCACCTTGCTATTCAAGACTAATTTAAAACAAACCCTTATAACTTCATTGGAACTCAACAAGTCTATTAAAATATTCGTTTAACCCAAAAATAATCACCATCTGTCTGTCACCATTATGGGTTCACACATCCTCTAAGTACATAATCAACACCCTTGACAGATGTTGGATAACTAATGACCTCTTTTAAGGTGTTTCAATTAGCTGGCGCTGCCGCCGTAAACCAAATCCCCAAACAATGTGAAATCATAAACCAAATATTATGCTAATCAATCCATCAATATTTAAACACTCCCCTTGGGGCATTTGGCCGACGTGCAGCCAACAACCAGCCACCAGCTGCCAGCTAATTAAATTGAATTATTATTGCATTTAATTATCGGCCATGCCCGGCATTCTATGGCCACATAAAATGTCAACTGCATTAGCATCATCATTATCGGGCGGCTGGGCCGAGTCTGGGCAACACTTTCAGGCATATTATCCCATTTCCATTTTCATGGAGCCCCAGCCTCCTTTGATCTCCGCCTGCATCGACGTTGCGCTTGTTAAATTCAATACAGTCGAGCATAATTCTTATTTTTATTTTTTCGAGAGAGGGGTCGGTTGGATGGATGGTATATGGTATATGGATGTGCGTGCGTTTGTCTTTTGCTTTTATATTTTCGTTTTTAATTACTTTTGCGCTATTTTTAAGCTGTCTGCGGACCGACAACATTCGAAACCAGGTCCCAAGTAATGACAGAGCAGGGACAAAGTGGCAGGGAAAAACCAGTCCCCAGTCCGTTGCATCTTTACTAGGTGTTAATTTATTTTTAATTTTTATTATTTATCAGCGCTATGCGATCGCTCTGGCAGCCGTCTCCATCAAAGAGCTCCACACAAAATACTCAGACGTAAGTGGATCGCTCTGGCTTTCTGGGCACTTTCATGGATTTCCATGTGACAACCGCATCACTGGGGAAAAAGTTATAGAGCCTTTTAATATATTTATATTGTAGTCTCATAAAACTCACCAAGGGGCATACATTTAATAATTCAATCAAAATTTCGAACAAAAAAACTATTTCATATTTAATGTCTTTTTAAAATTGCTCAGATTGTTATCTGTCAATTTTAATTTTAATAAATTAACTGGTATCACTACACAACCGAATAATACAAGTTTGAAAACGAAATAAGTACCTACCTATTAAATAGGTACATAAATCCGTTATTATCGATGTTAATATAAATATTAATTTCTGCTTTAGTGCTTAATTAAAATAAGACATAATCACGGTTTGAAGTGGACTTCTATTATTAAATTTTCCACTCTGGGTATATGGATAAATGGATCGCCCACGCTCTTCAGAAACCCGCACAATCTCCATGCCGCCACCTCGGGATATTCCATCATCATGGCGCTGACGTTTCTATTGCATGCCATGTGCCATAGCCACAAACCATCCTCATTCCCATTCCTAATCCCAATCTCCATTCCCTGGACTGCACTCTCGCATGCAATTAATATCATTTTTATGTTCTAATGACATTCGCTGCGCTGCATTTGGTGTGCGTTTAGCGAGGGAGAGGCGAAAAGCGAGGAGTGGGTCCCCGAAAAACCATCATCGCTCAAAACGGCGTGTCGGGCACGAATCTTTCAAGTTGTAAAAACGCCATTAAATTGGCAGCGAAGTGCATGCCAGCCAGCCGCGATGATGATGATGATCAGTCAGAAGAGGAGCAGCCGGGTATGGGCCATAAACAACTTGAAACTTGGAAGGCAAAGGCATTGCGTAGGGCGCCCCGAAGTTGCCCCATTAAAAGGGGTCCGACCCTGGCCACATTTAATTTACTTTATTGACTTTAATTAATTTGTATGTTTTTATTTCGATTTTAGTCAAAAATTTCTCGTTCGCTCACTTTTTCGCTCTTTTGTTGTAAATATCATAAATATTTCGATGCTGCTGGCCGCCATAAAATGTTTTTGTGGAAAAGTAATAAAGCTAAAAGTGTATAAATAAGTGTTGTAGAAAGCGGTGGTGGGTGTATTCCATGCTGTGGCTGCTACTGTTCCAGCCACGATTGGAATCTTAATGGTCAATAAAAGCTAATTAAATGTTTTTAATATAGTCGGCTTGCTGGGCCTCCGTTTGGAAGGGTTGAAGCGAATGGAATGATCGAATGGAATGGAATCAAAACACTGGAAATTGTTGCATAAATCAACACGCAGAGATTATCCGAAAGATACAAGATACCGCTGCGAGTGTATGTGTGGGCGCCCTGGCAATTGACTCACGCACACCACAAAGCTATTTTAATTGTCTGCAGTTCGAATCGGGGAGCCACTCTTACATCCACATCCATATCCCAGGGTTCGTCGTTGACAGCAACCGAAAAGGCGAGGAGAAATTGCTACACGTTCCAAAAATGTATACTTGCACTTAATGCACTTAAATTTTATTACCTTGCACTTATTTATTTATTAAAAATGTTGGTAAATGTAAAAAATATTGAATGATAATAAAAAATTGAAATATTTTTATATACCTCTCAAAGTTTCGATCCATGTTTTAATACGTATTTTATATGAATATTATGAATATT